ATGACAGTTTCTGGTTCAGGTTGAAGAAAAGAGCAAATTCAAACCTGAAACTGAGAATGCAACGCCTCAATCTGATCTCCACGGGACAACACTGCAATCCTCGTGAATTTGCCACGACTTTGAACCAATTCCGAACTACATTGCTCTATAACGGCCCACATCGATGCGTCCAAAGGAGGGCCCTCATCACAGTTCTTACTGTAATATACAGTTAAAGTCCTGAACCTAGAGGATAAAGGGAAAAGACGAGAACATACGTAATCATCTCTGATGCATTCTTGATAACACTTTCGTCATACACTTCACTGGGAGCTTGATCCTGGACATCCCATGCTACCAACCGGGCCATTTCCGCTTTGATCAAGTCATCAGCCTGTGAAACATCGAAATTAGACCAGCAGTCAGGAGGCACCCATATCGGGCACGAAGGTGCAACCTGGATGATGTGCGAGCTAATTTATCAGAGGGCAGCTGTGCTACATGACATATCGTCAGCGTATCACCAACCACCATCTCCAAACACTATGTCATAATGAAGAAGACGTGCTCGCGCGACAACATCCTCACACCACCACCACCATGCAATCTGTCAATTTCACGCAAACGATGACAATGAGATAACAGACTGATGGATAGCGCGTTAAAACAGAAACATTCCATCAAGGATTAAAACGAATGCTCCAACATACCCTTGCCATTTCCGTTCTGTTCAACGAAGGCTTGAAAGCAGCGTCGCATACTTTCGACGGCTTCGGAAGGGAACGCTGGATAACCTATAACAAAATACGCTAATCATATACCTTTACAAACATTATAAAACTCATTCCCACCTGAGTTCTGGCTGCCAATTCACGCTGTCTCTTAAGAGCACGCTGTTTAGCACGAGCTTCTTTTGCATCAGCCGCGTCATCAACCCATTCCTCTCCATTTTCCTCTTGTTCTTCGGCTTCCTCACTTTCACCATCCGGCGCAACGATTTCATAGTCATTGCGTGGCTCTGGCAGGGAAGCCAAAGCTCTTCGCAGTTCTGCTCGAGCCTCTAATCCACCTGTTGCACCTCCTTCATTGATACCCATCTGGTCGCGGAATGCCGGTGTCGCACCTCCTGCTCCAGGTGTGAAGGAACCGACAGAGCTGGGTGTCGCTAAAGAAAGAGATTCAAAGAAACATTAAAAGCCCTTTTTCTCGTAAACAAGTATTACCTCCAAATGTGCTAGCCTGGAGTGGCTGCCACAGCATTAAGCACAGTGTTCGGTGTAGCTTGAACACGCGGAGTTGGTAGGACACCTGAGAAGTCCGTTTCTTGCAACGGTGTGTTCAGACCGCCCTTCAAGGGTGTGTCTACATTCTGCAGAGCGAGGATGTTTTGAACTTCCTGGAAAAAATTCAAAATCTTTGCGGCTAGCAGGCTTTCACATTTACAAAGACAAAACCAACAACTACTCAAAGACCACAGCGAACTAGAACCCATCATCATGAACTGAAGAAATGCATATCTCAATTAGCCACTTAATCGTCATGAATGCTTACTGCCAGTCATCGACCATAGTGCAATCCCAGTAGCTACCGTAATCCGCTTGTTTGGCTGGAAACGAGCGTCGCTCTCAAAATGGAATTATCCGCCGCCGTTCATTATTATTCCTGTCACGCCGTGGCTGCGAGCTCGCTCTTCCTGTGCTACGTTCATCGAACACCGTAAAAGCAGCATACCGCCATTACGGTCACCAGCCGCCAGGGGGAATCAAACTAACCGCCGAGGGATCACAATAAGGTGTACCATGGAGGTTACTTTTGGAGCTAGTTCTCAGGTATTAGTAGCACTGACATTAATCTGATTACAATCTTCGGCTAACAGAAGCGCATAGCTCTCAGATGAGTAGTAAACAAAAAACCATGGACAGGGAGAAGCAACAGTATCACTTTTTTGCCGAGACGCCAGCCCCCTGGGCAGCTCTTTAAGAGGGACAATCGTCAGAGTTTCGAAAGCTTTTTTTCTATATTTTCGCCAGGTTGCAAAGGCTGGACTAAGGCTTGTCCTCGTTTGAAGTTACGTTATCTTAAATCATTGAGTTCACGCGATTGCAAAGTGACAAATGGAATTGTTAATTTCATAGGAAAGATTTTCTGTTTTACACAACAAGTCTTATTTTGAATCTTTGATGAATGTATTTATCTATACGGGCATCTACACAATGCACGATACTCTATTGTTCCTTCGCATGTGCCTCAGGAGAAAGGAGAAGCATCCGGTGGGGCTGAGTATTTCCGAAACTCTCAAGTTCATGCTGTTAAGCAGGATGAAGTCATAGGTCATCTTAACAACCACTTCCTGACCACCTCAACCCCCTGAATTGAGCAAATTTTTTAGACATCTCTCTGCGATAATGATTAGATGTCAAAAATAAATCAAAGAATTTGCGTAATTATACGTGAAAAGCGTACGTCATGTAAAGTTCCACACCAAGTTGAAAAATTGATAAGCTCTCACAAGGAAAACTTAGTCTTCCGTGTGAGTAGGGCCCAAAACACTGCGCACTAGCAGGTCAAAAAGCAGGCGTACCTGATCCCTATTTTTTTTTTAATTTTGGTACGACCAAAGACAGATCGAGCAATACTTGGAGGATTAGTGGATTTTCTTTTAATTTTGACTTCCGCTATCAAAAGGCACTGATTCAATACTTAAATGAGGTTTGTGACCTTCACCTTGTATTTTTCGAGCAGTCATTCTAGGAAATCTCAGCAGAGCCAGAATGAAAATAGACAAACTCTTATGTATTTCAATGGATTTGTCACCGACCAGGAAACCCAGCCACAGCTGCGATTAGGCGCTGAGCGACTTCTTGGGAAGTTATTATTTATTTATTTATTTATTTATTTATTTGTAACGCTGCATAAGCAGTCGTGAGAAACATACCAAGAACAATTTCAAATTGATGCTGTACACTTCTACTAACCATAGCTCAACAATTCCTTCTTCACGAGGCGTTTGAAAAGTAAAAAAGCAGGGAAGACAGGAGTCACTTTTGATTTTAGATTAATGAATATAGATCCAGCTCGACACTTAAAGCTGTATCGCTTTAAGTTGGTTCGTGGCGTTGCATTTCATATGAAATCTTCTCCGATCCACCTCTAGTTTTTGATTTGACCCTTTCATAAAATTTGGATGCATCAACTCGGCAATACCTGACAATATTTTGAATACCATGCAAACATCGTAAACTTTTCTGCGGGAATTTAAGGTGTTAATTTAAGAAAGGATTTCTTATTTGAGTTGCATATTTGAGCAAGATTTAACTATCCAGCACCAGTGGCAGCATCAATACTTAGCAAAGTACAGGTAGATGCACAATTCACTTCTCAAAAGTTTAGCGCGCTGGACTGATAGTCAATAAGTAGAATGCGGGCAGGAAGGAAACTGAAGCACTTGCAAGAGCTACCTACAGAAATAACGTCTGTGGGAGGAGCGGATAGGCGAGCAGCGCATTACGTACTATGAAATTCTAATCAGTCGCGTACATGCATTGTGATCAAATGCGTCCATACACCTCTCATCCCAACGAAGACTTCGTCTCTTCGAAAAACAGCCCACTGAGCGCGAATTCACGCGACTAGCGTCGGAGAGAGGCGGCACAGATGGGCCGTAAGGCAGCACATCGACGCCACGGAATGTGCTGAATCTGCCCTCACTCTCGCGTTCGCAAAGCAACTGGTGTGTCGTGCACCACCGTGGTAGCGAGATGTTATGCAAATCGGAACGAGAGCTATTCCAATCTTAAATTCATCACTAATACCCTGCGGCACATCGCTGACCGAAAAAACCCTACCGCCACAGAACCAACAAATCAAACTAAAACAACACCCGTCAACGATCCAATTTCCGATACCAGCGTTGATGGAGGACGGCGTCCACAGAATTACTAGGGAAACACCTACACCAACGCGTGCAGCGATGCACTCAAACATAGACAGAATAGGTGAACTCTTAGTAATTCGTCACAAGGTCAACTGTGTATTGAGCAATTCTCAACAGGAGGGTCCTACTCGAGGTTTTTTTTTGGATGGAGGTCGTATTCCGGGTTGGTGAAGGTGGAAAATGGAAGAAAGAGGGATCAAATTTCTAGAGTTGGATGGGTTGTGGTGGTAGGAAGGGCGTTCTTGGCGGGTTTCGTGATTATTATAGAGGAAGTGCGAAAAGGTAAGATGAAAGTGGTCGTCTGATTAGGTATATTTATATATATTCAACTCCCCTCCCTGACCCTCCCTCTACCCACCTTCCCCCGCTCGACAGCCGTTTTGGATGGAAAAGGTGAGGAACTGCCGCGATGATGAGGGTAGTGATTGAGGAGAGGGAGATGGTGGTCGTATCGAGACCCTTTAAAAGGGCAAAGAGTGGGGATCGTAAAATTTTTAAAATTTCACGGTCGACCATGGTCACAACTTCTATAATCACAAGTTTCAGTAGAATATAATGAGAAGAGAGTGATCACTGAACAAGAGTCAAAGCTGTATGGAAATACTTTAAAGCGAAAAAATGCGACCAACGGTATGACTCCCACCTAGAGAAGAATGAACATTTGAAGCGGACATGTTTCGGTTCCCTACGAGAACCTAAATATTCAGCCAGTGTTGAACCCACTTTACAGCTTTCACCATTCATTCTTCCAACACAAGTTCGCTATCAATGGAGCAACCCAGGAAGAATGCCTGGCGTTTGATCAAGGGAACTTGACGCCGTACTGCATCTGTTTGCTGACTAGTGAAGGCATACAAGTAATCACAAGGGTGCCCCGCCATGACATTGCTACTCAGTGACCAAGTTTCATAAAAAAGGAGATATATTGCCTCACAATCGAATAACTCTAAGAAATAGGTTATAATACAAATATACGAAAATTATAAGCTCAAAGTGACATCCCCATCCGATTGTGGACCTCCGCAATGCTATACCCACTGCTCTCCTCTGCCCTCTGCCCAAAATGAATGGTGCTTGTCCTCTGCCCTTGCTCAGAATCAAGTGGAAGCTTGCCTTTGTGTTCATAAAATTAAGGTGGGAGAGGTAAGCGTTGAACAAACCTTTTTCGGGATGCACCATGCACTCTGCACTGGTTTACATAGAACCATAGCGGCATATTCATTTGGTTTAC